GATACCCCAATGCACAGCTTGCTGCCAGGCCACAACTCAACACGGAAGATTTGCATGATCTGAGCCCAACTCAGCTGCAGTGGCACCTGCCAGTGTGACTTCTCAGAGCTTGCATAGGCTGTAGCTCCATCCGGCCAGTGAACTTCCACCGTGGGGAAGCTCAGGAAGCTCAGCCCAGGCACAACTCTGTCTTTCCATGCAGAGGCCCCATGAACTCAGTCTGAACTCTGGCTCCATTCAGAAGGCCACCATGTGCTTCAAGGAGGGAAAGAGTGAAATCCCCTCACTTCATCCCCACTACCTCCTGTAAGCCCAGGCTTTACTCTCAGATAAGCTGTTAATGCAGCGTAGATGTCCTAATCACTCCTTTCAGATGAGGGGCAGGGCAGAGCAAAGTGGAAGGGTGAATGACAAGCCCCATCTGCAGGCCACCTCTGCTTGCTGGCTTCCTGCACACCACCTCTCTGTAGATCTGCACACAGTGCCAAAGGAGAGCAGAGGCAGAATTCAGAAGCAGAAATGCAGGCTGCAAACTAAAGAGCCCTGACCACTCTTTGGGACTGAATGTGTTATACATTCAGGCCTGACCCCTGTTCACCCACTCACTCATGGGTTGGGAAGAGGGGCAGTTGGAAGGTGTGCCAGGTCACCAGGAAGTAATTTGTGTTTGCCAGGCCCCTCTGAAGTGGAGCAAGAGTCCTGTGTGAGCTGTGGTCTCTGCAGCCCTTGTGACCTAACTAGGCGAGATGGCCATCATCTCCATCCCACCCCTTGATAAACAAAGAGCTGGCGTTTGTCTCTCCTCTTCACTAACATGGAGGCCTAAACTCTGCTGAGCTTATCTATACAATGGATTTCCTGCTGGTGTTGGATCCTCCCCTAGCCCCAGTGAGTAATAATTTATATCGCCTGAGCACACAGACATGCTGATGTCCATGATGCTGGTGGCCTTGGCAGACCCCGATTCCCTCAGTCTGGGTGGGGATCTACAGACGTTAACCCCAGCTGAGCTGACCCACACAGAACATCCCAGTTAGAGAGAGGGAGCAAGAATGGAGAGTCCTGAGAGGGCCTGCAGAGTGCAGGCACCCACCAGCCATGCATTGAGGCCTCCTGTGCGCCAGGCCCAGGCCGGGTGCTGGGTGTTCAGAAATGCAGACACACAGAGTGGAGGAGCATTCCAACCCGCTCCGGATCAGACTTGGGTGATTACGACCCAGAGCTTAGTTCTGGGGCAGCAGTCAGAACAGAGCTGGCGGAGTGTTGAGGAAGGGTAGATAGTAGAGGGCGCTCTAGGAAAGCATCAGTTCTGAGTTAATGAAAAGCTTTCCTTTCCTGGAAGTCGGTCCTCAGCACTGAGGGCCTGGAGGTGTCGGGAAAGGGAAGTGCCCTTTGGGTTGAGTTAGCACCACCCTGTGCCTCTGTAGTCAGTTTGGGCCATCAGCCAGGGTATTCCAAGGAGGCCCTCTTCTCGGGTACTCCAAGGAGGCCCTCTTCTCGGCTGCTCCTCCGCCCAGGCATGCGGGTGTTCAGCCTCTTGTCAGAATACCAAGGCCCTGGCTGGTCATAGCAAGCATGTTTGAAGGGGAACTGGCCTGGCTCCTGCCAACAACCTCTCTTCCTGACCTTGATAACATCTGGGTGGAATTTTTTTCCCTTTATATAGTTAGGCCCATTGGTGTTTGCTTTGACTTTGGATTACGGTATGATTGGCATCTCTGAAATTTCAGGCCCCAAATGTGTGCCGGGTCCTAGAACTGTGAGAAAGCTGGACTTTTGCTAATGGGATTTCGGGTGTGTCCAGGTGGAGCAGAAACAGTGCACTGGTAACTGTTTGCACACAAAATGCAGAGAGCAGCCCCAGCTGGCGGGGAGGGGTCTTCTGCCTGGGGGCAGTGATGGGTCAGGCCTGGTGGGAGGAAGCCTGCGGTGGAGTTGGGGGAGGCCTCCTCCCCTTCCTGCCCTTCCTCACCCTACATCCTTCGTCACCCTCCCCCCACGTGCCTGGCCCTGGAGTGACCAAACTTGCAAACAGGAAAAGATGTACTAACTGCAAAGAAATGCAATGGGTCCAGACTTAACCCCAAAGCAAACCTCATAAGTGTGGGGTTTGGAGCATGCTTTAAAATGACCGTCATTGTCTGGCTATGTGCAGCGAGGAGCTGCCTGGGGTGTGAGATCAGGATGGAGCTGGGCTTGGGGAGTGGGTCCTCTCCAGGTGCCTCCAACTGGAGAGGAAACCCGTGCCCCACACACCGGCTCACTCCCTGACTTCTCTGGAGTCTCTGGGGTGAGTCCTATCTTATCGGGTGACTTCATTTCCTCTAGTTGGATGTTCACAACTCTCTGGAAGGTTCCAACCAGTCAACCACACTGATTGTGGTGTGGGAGCTTCTGACATGCTTGATTGCACTTTCCCTTTGGGACCTTGGCGGCCCAGCTGAGTGATAGCTGGAGAGTGGAGGATTGTGTTTTTTTTTTAAGATAAGGTTTGTTCCTAAGTATGAGGAAGTTTCCAGATGCCTCTGGGAAACTCTGAAGGCGTGAGGGTGGGTACAGGCCTTGCAGTTGCCCTTCTGGGCAGCCTCCAGCGCCAAGACCCCTTGCTCAGGAAGTGTCCCATGTTCCTCTGGTTTAGACACCTCTGGTGTACCATAAAACCTGGTTTGGATGGAAGGACCTTAGCCCCATAAACTCCAGGTGATCACATATCTTCCCTTCTGTCCTAACAGGCTTCTTCCCTGGAGAGGACCTCGTCATGTTCAACACGCAGTGTCTTTCGAGGACCTAGTGTGGGATTTGCACAGAGCCCTATTTGCCATCTTTGCCCATGTGGCCCCGGTCCCCACAGCACCAAGGCCATACTCCTTCCCTTGGGATTTAAATCTTCAGCGTCTGGCTCCAGACTAACTCTCCTCTTTTTATATCTCCTTTCCTTCTCTCCTCCCACCCTGAACTTCTCTTTCCCTTAGAACAGTCTGTCCCCTTGGCTGAAATGTTCCTATAATTATTATTCCTGGCAAGCTGGAAGCAGGACAGCATAATGGGCTCTGGAATGAGACCACCCGGGTTCAAATCCTGGTGCTGTCCCTTTCAATCTGTGGAACCCTGGGCCAGTCACCTAGCTGTGTTGTGCCTTGCTTTCCCCATCTGTGAAATGGGCATAGTAATAGTTCCTTCCTGTGAGCAATAACAGGTCCTTAGAGATGTCATGAGGATGAAAGCTCAAGCATTTGAAATATCTGACACGTAGTAAGAATTCAACATATGGAGGCTGCAATGATTAATAAAAGCTTTTAAAGAGCCTTCTCCATGAAGCCATTTCCAAAAAAACTAGGCAGGATGAGCTTTTCCCTTTCTGGGCCCCGAACTAACCCCATGAGGTTCCAGTTATTTACTTCCAAGTCTGAATTTACCTCTGGCCTGAGATTTCTTAGAATACAGGGACTAGATTTCAGCAATAGCAACATTTACATCAGTGTGTGCCGGGCTCTCTACCGTAGGCTTTTTTCTCATCAATTTTTTTTTATCAAGACATAAACTTTCACCCAATTGAACTATACAAGCCAGTGGTTTTCTTATATTCACAAAGTTGTGCAGACATTTTAAGAAGAAGCTCTGCGTCCGTTAGCTGTCAGCCCTGGCAACCACAGATCTGCTCTCTGTCTCCGTGGATTTGCCTATTCTGGATATTTTGTATAAGTAGAAATATATAGTACACACCCATTTGCCTCAGATTTCTTTTACTTAAGCCCAGTGTTTGGGGATTCATTATGCATTCAAACCTATTCCTTTTTAAAGCTGAATAATACTCTATTGTAAGGATACATCACATTTTGTAAATTCATCAACTAAGGGACATTAGCATTGTTCCACTTTGGGGGCTCTTGTGACTAATGCTGCCATGAGCATCCATGCTCTGGTTTTCGTGTGGACATGTGTTTTCATTTCTCTTGGGTACATACATAGGGGTTGAATTGCCGGCCCACATGGTCACCCTAAATTTGACTATTCACATCGGCATTTGCATTCCTTTCAGTGATGAATGAGGATTCAAATTTCTCCATTTCCTCACAAATACTTTATTCTCTTTTTTTATTATCGCCATCTTAGTATGGAGTATGAAGTGACATCTTGTTGTGGCTTTGGGTCACATTCCCCTGGTGGCTAATGGTATTGGGCATCTTTTCATGTACTTACTTACCAACCATTTGTACGTGTTCTTTGGAGAAATGTCTATCCAGATTCTTTGTCTGCTCTTTAATTAGGCTGTTTGTATTTTTATTGTTGAATTGTAAAAATTCTTTGCATATTTTGGATACAAGTCTCTCATCAGATATATATAATTGACACATAGTTTCTCTCACCTGGAGGGATGTCTTTTCATTTTTTTGACAGTATCCTTAGAAGCACCAAAGTTTTAAATTTTGACAAAGTATCAATTTTTTCTTCTGTTGCTTGTGCCCTTGGTGTTATATCAAATAAACTATTGCTTAATTCAAGATCACAAAGATGTACTTTATACTTAAAAAGTCATCTTTTTTATAGTGAAAAATTGGGCTTCATTTGTGTACAGTGAATCAAAGAGCATTCCGCTGTCATGTATAACTGATTAGAACAAATTGAAAAAATAAAATAAAATAAAGTTATCTTATTGACGATAACCCCGAAAGGAAAAATGACTCTTTGCAGACCCACTTTACAGATAAGGAAATCAAAGGGCCAAATGCCAGATCTGGGATTTGAACTTGGTTTCAGTTTCACTCTAAACCTCATGCCCTTCTTGCTGTGCCTTCTCCCCAAATCTCTGTACCTCTGCGTCCCTACAGGGCTTGTGCAGTGACTGGTGCACTGTCGGCCCACAGGTCATGTGCGCTGGGTGGAGGAATGGCAGGCCCTGGCCCTTGTGCACGTGCCTCGCAGGCTGGCTTGGGTGGGTTGGGGCTTGCTCCACTGACGAGATGCGAGAAGTCACCTGGCATCTCTCCTCTACTCTGCAGTGTCTCATCGTTGGGGGAGGACCATGTGGCTTGCGCACTGCCATCGAGCTTGCTTACCTGGGAGCCAAAGTGGTCGTGGTGGAGAAGAGGGATACCTTCTCCCGGAACAATGTGCTGCACCTCTGGCCTTTCACCATCCATGACCTGCGGGGCCTGGGAGCCAAGAAGTTCTATGGGAAGTTCTGCGCCGGCTCCATCGACCACATCAGTGAGTAGAGCCTGTGGGTGGTGCTCCAGGAAGGTCGAGATCCTCCCTGGGTTTGACTCTGCATCTAGAAGGCCCAGATAGTCCCCTCTGGGAAATCCCTGGAGGCTCCTTGCTTCCAACTGGTGCATTTGGTGAAGGCCTGCTTTGGACCTTAACACTATGCTGGCACATAGCAGGTACTCAGGAAAATGCTTTGCGTCCAACATGTACAGTGAGGAAGAGGCAGCCACAGTCCCCAGATTTGGGACTCCAGAGCTGCCTTCCCTGACCCAGGGCTTTCTGTGGGGATGGGTGTGGGGAAGGGAGAGTTCGTGTGAGAATGAGGAGAGGGAAATATCCGCCACACTGGGCGTGATTTGTTTGGACACAGGAGAGTTCGCCAGCAGTGGCCTCAGAGTTTATTCCCTCTTTGGGATGTGAAAATTCCGAGAGTCCAGTGGAAAGAAATTTGGATTTGCCCAGAAAGCTGCAGCGTCAGCGGTCAGGATGTTCTGCCCCACCCTTGGAAGAATGTGTGGTGTCCGTTACCCACGTAGAGCAAGGACATTGAACACCGCTTCTTATCAGACCCTCCTGGGAGGCAGCACCGCCCAGCAGGCCTGGTGGGCCCAGGGCTGTGGCCTGGGCTTCCCAGCAGGGAGCCCCTCCTGCCCTCACCCACAGGATCTGTCTCATCCCTAGACCTTGGAAAGAAGTGCCAGAAAGGCTCTGGGAATGAGAGTGAAACATTCAGAACCATTATTGTGGAGGGTAGCTCTGGCCCTGTGAAGAGAGGTGGGGGAAATTTATTGAGCACCTACTGTGTGCTGGAACCAGAGAGACTAGGAACCTTGGCCCTGTGAGGAGAGGCCAGGCCTCCCCTGAAGGAGTTTTGTGGCCAGAGGTGGCCGGGGCTCTTCCTAGCCCACTGACTGGCTTCTGTTTGGACCATCCCTGCTCTCTCCAGCCCCAGCTGAATCCCGTGCTTGGCCTTGCTCAGCAGTTCTCCGCAGGTCCTGTGTTAGCAACCTCCTCCACTTCCCACTGAGGTGGTTCCCACCCTCACCCCAGCCTCTTGCTCTTAGCAGATGGTCTCCCTCCTGCACTCTGGGGAAGAGAGGCCACTGATGCCACACCCTGCTCCAGCCCCTGTGCCTCCTCCTGCCTGCTCACTTGTTCCTTGCTTGCACCTGCAGTCGAGAGGTAGACCTGGACATCTCCTCTCAGACTGCAACCCCGCCTTGGCTCCCTCCCCTCCTTTTACCTGCTCCTCCCACAGGCCTTCCTGCTCCTCATGTCTCACTGACTGTCCAGTCTTCTGTGTGTGCCCCAGGACCATCCTTACCTCAGAATGTCCATTCTGGAAAGAGGAGGTGTGGGCTTTTGCACCATTCATTCCCACCTTCCCCCATGACAGCCTGATCTCTCCCCACCACCCAAGTCTGCAGAAGCCTCCTGCCCCCAACTTCCCTGACCTCCTGTGAGATTTGATATTCTTGGTTCCACCTCTCTTAGCTTCCAGGACCCCAGCTCAGGCCCTGTTCTCCACCACCACCACCCCACAACCACCATGCCCGGCTCCATTCTTTTTACCTGTATTTCCTCCATTAAAGGGTGTGTCCCCACCTCCCATGCCGAGCCTGGCACCTGATACATTGTAGATGCTCAACAAATATTAAATGAGCTAAACCTGTGAAATACAGAGGGGCCCGTGGAGAGTTTAGAACTGCTCACTCTGTGGAAAAATACCTGGAGGGATGCCCATCTGTACAGAATGGCGGGAGTCAAAATAGGGAAATGAGGTTCTACTCATTGGGAGAATTTTGAGAGTAAACAGGAAGTGGAGAACCTGACCCTTACTTACCCTTGGAGGGCAAAGAGCTTAGGCACAGCCTCCCCACGATGAGCCACTGGATCACTGTCTTCCCTTGTTGCCCTTCACTCTCTGTGTGCTCCTCTTTCCATCTTCACCTTACCAAGCCCAGAGCCCAGCTCAGGAAGGAGGCAGGAGAGGCGAAGCCCCCCTCCCTAGGGCGTCATCCAACGCTAGAGCAGGAACTTTGAATCAGACAGATCCAGGCCCACCTTCTAGTTCTGCTCCTGTGTGACCTCAAGCAAGTCACTTAACCTCAGTTTCTCATAGATAAAAATGAGAATAACGAAGGTACTAAAGGGCTGCTGTAAAACACAGAGTGTCTGTCGCCAAAATCAGCGCTGGGGATGGTCATGGTTGGCGTATTGCCACACCCTAATCCCTGAGCAGTGATTGTGCGGTGTTCTGCATACAGGAGGTGCTCGGGTGTTGCTACTGACAGTTCTTCTCTGCCTCTGTCTTCCTAACAGGTATTCGTCAACTGCAGCTCATCCTATTCAAGGTGGCCCTGATGTTGGGAGTTGAAATCCATGTGAACGTGGAGTTCGTGAAGGTTCTGGAGCCTCCTGAAGATCAGGAAAATCAAAGTACAGTGTAGTTTTCCTTTTCTGTCTCCAAGTCAGATATTGCAAACCAGAAGCTACACTTGCAGCTGTCAGAGGGTGCTTCTGTGAGAGTTATTTTTATTGAGAGCTGTCTGGCACACTTCCAGCCAAGGATAGTTTACCTTTTTTGACCATTGCTATTGCTCCTACCCTCCAGGGAGGAGGAGGGTAGGATTATTATTAAGCCATCAAACCTATAATTTGGTGGCCTTGTCCTTAGGAGATGCTATTTTGACAAATTAAGTCCAGTCGATAGCAGGAAAGAAGACATAGATTTGGTGGTTGGTGAAGTTCATTCACATGCACTCCAAGTTATGCATGAGAGCTCACACGTAGGTGTGTGGATGCATCTGTTGGACCCACAAGGTATTTCAAAATCTAGTACAGAAAGTGAGGCTTCTAGAACAACTATGAGATAAAGGTTCAATGTATTTTTCAGTCAATGTTTTTAATTATACATGGACACAGCACCTTTTTTTAAATTTACTTTTACGTGGTGCTGAGGATTGAACCCAGTTCTTCACACATGGGAGGCAAGCATTCTACTGCTCAGCCACACCCCAGCCGCCATCAGTAATATTTTAATCATATTGAGGTTTAACTTATAAGCCATAAAATTCACCCATATAGATATACTCTATTTAGTAACATTTCTCTTGCTTAGTATGCTTATTTAAGTTCAGATCCCTTAGACTCACCGAGATCAGAGAGGTTGTCCACGAAGCCTCTGCATCTTTCTTACTGTCAATATCTTCTACTGCCCAGGAGGGGCTAAGAGTTCTGAGCCAGCGTGGTGTTGGAAAACTCACAGTTTCCTGCTTGGGGTATACCTCGTTTCACCTTCCCTCTGCCCAGCATTTGTGAGAATTTAAGGGAGCCCTTTGTTGGCTTTTCTAGCAGGACACTATTTATTACCTGGCACTCAGGGACGTGTGCTCCTGACCGGCATCTCTACTAGACACACAGGCTGTCCCTGAAAAGGTTTTTACCCAAGGCAGCGAACTCCACAACAGAACATTTTGAGCATGAAGTAGAAATGCAAATTGTTTTTGTTCTCAATCTTTTGGGTCCGTTTAGCATTAAGAAGGTACTAAGTAATGTGGGGGAATGAGAAGAGAACACAGAAGAATCTAGTGAGAAAAATACCGTGCACGGGGGACTAGTTTGGGAATCATTTGGGATAAACTTCCAGTGAAGGCCAGTGAAACTAGGCATGGAGCTGCGTTGCTGGTTTACTTTGTCCCGTGCTGCACTGACACTAAAGCCAGGAGATGCCAAGTAGAGCGTGACCTTGGACTGCCTTGTCCCTTCCCCTGAAGGCTCTGCCTGGGCAGCATTGTTCATTTCTCATGGCCAACACACAGAGCTGTCACCACCTTCCTCCCACCGCTCCCTGTCGCTCATCTCCCCTTTGTGTCCTGCAGAAATTGGCTGGCGGGCAGAATTCCTGCCTGCAGACCACGCCCTGTCGGAGTTCGAGTTTGACGTCATCATTGGTGCTGATGGCCGCAGGAACACCCTGGAAGGTGAAGGCTCTTCCTCTTGGGATGGGGGTGGGGAGAGTGGGAGGGATTGGAGACAGTGGGTGAGATGCCAGGTGCCAAAGCTGGGGGAGCTTCTCAGAGGGCAGGTGTCCCATCCTGCCTGAGGTAGGTGGGCAGGGCTCCAAGAGGCCGGGAGTGAGAGGGCAACCATTTCATGCTCTCTGGACCTTGGTTTTCCCAGCTCTAAACTGAGGGTAGCAGAACCCATTCAGAGCACTTTGCTGAGGATTGGAGACACTCACCTATTCTGCGATTATTCTGCGATTCCCAGACTCACTGATATGTAAAAATGCTTTATAAAGGTTAAGTGCTGTGGGAAAAATCAACATGCATTTATTGAGCACCTCCTGATGTGCAAGCCAGGGTGCCGAGCACTTTAATAAGTACTTCATCTGGGACAAACACTTCATGCGGTTAATGGTGTTTGTTCACATTCAAGTGCTCTGCTAACGGAAGGAGTTAGAGAAAGAGTCTCCCCCTCCTCTTTCCACAACGCTTAAGCACACCCACTGCTGGGCAGTTAGATAAGGTCTGCCAAACTGTCACCGTACAAAACCATGCTTCGCTGGGTCCTAGAGTTGGATGCACAGTGTGCTTTCCTGGGGTGAGATCCAGTTTGGGTGAGAGAGAAACCCTAATAGTAGGAGATGCAGCAGTCACGTCCATCCCAGACCCCGAATCAATTAGGCTCCTGGGTGTCCTGATTTATAGTAGCAGTACTGATTTAAAACCACAAGTCGTAACGAATACGGCCCCCAATGGCATCTCTTAGACTAGGGACAACACTGCTTTTTGAGCTTGCCCCCCTTGAGGGCCACAAGTTGCCAGTGTCTAACTGGGAGGGCACCCCCTGAGCACAGGACACATGCCCTGAAATAGCTGTCAAAAATTTCAGGATGTCTAGTCCTTCTGATTCAGGCCCTTCCCTGGGTGTTCTTTACCACCACCGCCACCTTCTGACGTCACTTCTGTTCCCTCACAATCAGTACCCAATATCTGACAGGACATCTTAGGCAATTCTAGCTTCCAATCTGGATGTGGTACTCTTTGGATTTCCTATGTTGTTTTGGTGGTTTGGTGAATAACTATTCCTGTAACTTTGACAAAGGTCTAATGAGGAACAACTTGAAGGAGAGGTTCCAAGTAGAAACCCAAAGTTTCAGTCAAAGGAATTTTGGGCAGAGGATTAGGCACCAGCATGAGGCCGGAGTACATGGTGAGAGGATGTGCAGGGAATTCCCAAGGTGATGCTGGGTCAGGTCTTAGTCTGTTTTCTGGTGCTATTATAGAATTCATGAGTCTGGGAAATTTATTAAAAATAGAGCTTTATTTAGCTCATGATTCTGGCAGCTGAAAGACCAAGAGCCTGGCACCAGAGTCTGGCAAGGGCTTTTGTGCCACATCATTACATGACAGGGGGCATCCCATGGCAAGACAGAACCAGCTGACCAAGAGAGCCCCCAGGATGGCCTGTCAACTCACGAATTCATGCATGAATGAATCCAATCTTGAGGGCAGAGCCTTTTGACACAATCGCTTCCCTAAGGCCCCTCTCCAGCTACCATGACATATAAATGGGGGGATTAAGCTTCCAACACAGGAATGCAGGGGACACATTCAAACCATAGCTACTGGGCCCTGGAATCAAGCAGCTAAGCAGCATGTCTGGGGTGGGAGTGGGAGGATTCAGGACCACAGGAAAACTAGATGGAAAAGGAAGAGGAGGAGAAGGTTCCACTGAGCTGTGACCACCTGCTGTGATCCTGCATCACCGCCTTTCAACACAAGTTTTCATATAAACCATTGAGAACCAAGATCCCTAAGGATGTAGTCCTATGTAGTCCTACATAATCAAATGTACTAGACATTTCAAGAGAGCTACAAGAGTGAATGTTGAATGGCCTCCACCTAAAGAAATAATGAAGGTTTGAGGAGATGAGCTAATTACCCTGATTTGATTATTGCTTATTACATACATGTATCAAGTATCACATTGTATGCCATAAGCATGCACAATTATCTTGTGTCAATTTAAACAAAAAATAAAAATTTAAGAAGAGCCATAAGGAATTAGAGTGCTAAATTAATTTGTGTTCATAATATATTTATTGGCTGTGTACTAAGTGCCTGTCACTGGGAATTATTATATTAGTTTCCCGGGGACGCTCTAAGGAAGTACCACAAACTGAGTGCTATTGTGGCCTAGTCATGGAGGCTGGAAGTCCACAACCAAGTTGCCCTCGGGGTTAATTCCTTTTGAGGGCTGTGAGAAGAATGGGTCCCCTGCCCCTCTCCTGGCTGCTGGTGTTTGCTGCAGTCTTGGTGTCCCTTGGGTTATGATCTTTATCTTCACAGGATGGTCTGTCTCCCTCTGGGCACATGTGTGTCCTTCTTTCCCCTGTCTATGAGAACGTCAATCATACTGGAGTAGGGGGCTCCTCTGTAAAAGGGTGAGCTCTGGGACTAGTTACCTGCTGGAGAAGATCACTTGGGCCATTGCCAAGCCTAATTAATCAGGTTTAGGGAAGGACAGAGTCCCACTGACTTTGCAAGCCTCTCATGACATGTTGTTTCCTCTTGGGAGCAAACCTGTCATTTCTCCTGTCCTCCAGAGGCCTAGAGGTCTGGTTTCGCTGGCCCGTGGGCACTGAGGAGGGCTTTCTCCGAGATGGTTTTCAGTGTTGGTGCCCAACCCAGAAGGCTGACTTTGCTGTCTCCTTCCCCCACAGGGTTCAGGAGAAAGGAGTTCCGGGGGAAGCTGGCTATTGCCATCACAGCCAACTTCATAAACAGAAACAGCACAGCGGAGGCCAAGGTGGAAGAGATCAGCGGAGTGGCCTTCATCTTCAACCAGAAATTTTTTCAGGACCTGAAAGAAGAAACAGGTGAGACCTTCTCCTCTGTCCCAACCAGCTCTTGTCCATATTTTCTGGGGTATCTAGAGGGGCACGGTGGCTTCACGGGCTCCTGGGACTGGAAGACTCATACTGAGAGGGTGAAAGCGGAGATTTCTCCTTATGGTAATAAGTGGGCAGTGTTCCTTCAAGGGGTTCTTGATGGAAGATTCTGGATGTTTTACCTGAAAATGGATAACAAAGCACTAACTCTGTCGACATTTACTGTGGGCCTACTGTGTGCCAGTGCTCAGTATTGTGGAGTGCAAGATCAAAGTCGGCATGATCCTCCCCCACCCCAACATAGCTCCCTGACCATCAAGGATCCACATAAAGTGCCCTAATGCAAGATGGTCAGCGCTGCACCCGGGCCAGTGTGAGACTCAGGGGTGCTCTGGGAGCCAGGAACCTGCAGGTGGCACCTGAAGAAGCACACATGCTGCACGCCAGCTGCCACACTCCAAGGGATGTCCAGGGATGCCACTCACTGGCAGCATTTGACATCCAGCCACGGGCCTGGAGAACAGAGGCGCTGATTCATTCACTCAGTGGCTGCTACATGCCAGATACTGCTTTGGAGCCTGAGTTAGACCAATGAAGGAGACCAAATCCCTCCCTCCCAGGACCTGTATTCGTGCTATGGAGGGAGATAATCAATAAACAGATAAAGTGACAGGTCGGGCAGCCGTAAGGATGGCGGAGAAAACAAAGTGAGGGGAAAGCAAGGGATGAACCACCTGTTCCCAATTAAATAAATTCCAGATTTTTTCTTTTTTTTTTTGGGGGGGTGGGGGGGTAAGTACTAGGGATTGAACCCAGGGATGCTTAGCCACTGAGCCACATCCCCAGTCATATATATATATATATATATATATATATATATATATATATATTTTTTTTTTTTTTTTTTTCAGACAGGGACTTGCTAAATTACTTAGGGCCTCACTAAGTTGCTGAGGCTGGTTTTGAACTTGCAGTCCTCCTGCCTCAGCCTCCTGAGTCGCTGAGGTTACAGGTGTGTGCTACCACACCCGGCTTTCTTTCTTTCTTTTCTCTTCTTTTTTTTTTTAAGAGAGAGAGAGAGAATTTTTTAATATTTATTTATTTTCTTTAGTTTTTGGCAGACACAACACCTTTGTTTGTATGTGGTGCTGAGGATCGAACCCAGCGCCGCGTGCATGTCAGGCGTGCATGCCAGGCAAGCACGCTACCGCTTGAGCCACATCCCCAGCTCTTGCTTTTTTTTTTAAGTTGACTAACAATGTGTATTTTCCCTTCAAAAGGCAGTGTGATAACAATGTTAAATACTATCTTCTGCTGGAGGTAAGCCATGTGCTTTTTGACCCCCGGTACAGCACCTTCACTGCTTTTCTGCTTTTCTCACTCAGAGTCACATTTAAGATACCACCCATATTTCTCATTCGATGTCACATTTTCAACATAGTCCTCCTGATGGTCAGTTTTGGGGGCAGTGGAACATCTCACCAAGTAGGTGCCACTGCTTTTAAGCCCCAGATTGGCAAACCATGGCTGGCCGCATGTTTTTATATTGTCTTTGAGCAAAGAATGACCTTGTATTTTGAAAGTTGCTAAAGAAAAAAAATCACAAGTATAATATTTTTTGATACATGAAATTTAAGTTTTGATGTCCCTAAGTAAAAGTTGGTGACAACACAACCGTGCTTGTTCCATGAGTTCTTACAACAGGGACCATATGGATCACATAGTCAAAAATGTTTACCATCGGGCCCTTTGAAAAATATTTGCTGACGTCTGATTTAAACCTTTCACGATTTACTGTTGCAGATAAGACTGTTTCTGTTGAATCTATCTTTAAACTTATTTTCTAGGAATGAGATTAATTTTGGAACCAGACTGCCTCTCGCTGTTCACAATGAAATGCATCCAGTGACCCTTTGAGTTTCCCCACCGTTGCATAACTTTATTGAGTTTTAATATTTCCTTCCAGCATTTGCATCCTTTTGGATTATTTAAAAATTCTCCAACACTTCCTTTCCCTCAAAGCCAAGAAAACAGATATTTAAACCACCAAGTAATAAATTCTGACGGGACATTGAATGTTTCAATGTGCTTCCTTTAAACTTTGCTGAGGTTGTCGCCTTGGGCCGTTGTTTCACAAAGTGCCCTCACACAGAGACAGCGACATTTCCTCTGGTTCTCTTGGGGGTCCTCTGCATTCATGGCTGTTCCCTACTCCTCTGTAGTAAAGGTCCCTGCAGTTGCCCAGCCCAACTCCCTTGTGTGGCGTGCGGATGGGTCTCCAGGTGTCTGTTCCTTTCTCTCCCTTCAAATAAACTAGTGCAATGGTTCTCCCACTCAAGTATGCATCAGAATCACCCCGACAGCTTGTTAAAACCCTGGGTGCTGGCCCCATCCCCAGAGTTTCTGATGCAGTAGGTCTTGGATAAGCTGCTGATAAGCTGTGTTTTTAGGGACCACACTTTGAGAACAACTGACTAAGCTCTCATTTCTCAGTGTGGTTTTTGCAGAAACCCAAAGTGCAAAATAAATATTCTCCTGGCCTCTAATCTGAGTTGTTCCTACTGCTGCACCTGGGTTTTCACTTACAAGGAGGGAAATGGTAGGAGCATCCCTTATTGTAGCCTGAGGAGAATTTCCACAGCTCTAGCCACATGGAGGGCACAGTGGATAGTGCTCAGAGCCATACAGGCTCAGATTCAAATCCTGGCTGTGTTGCTGTTTAGCTTCCATGGCCAGGTCCAGCAGTTTCTGCAACATCTTGCTCAGCTCCACCCTAGAAATACTGGCTCACAACCCCCGTGCACATTGTGAATTAAAACAACAACAACAATGTCCTTCTGTGATTATAAATGCTAGCTGTAAAACTCAGGTAACTTTGGGTTCTCTCTCATCTTCTCAGTCTTGTGTCTTAAACTTGGTCTAGCATGAAGATTCTACAGATAAATAATGAGCCCTGCCATAAGTTGATGTGAACATACTTTATATACACAGATACAAAAAAATTGTGCTCTATATGTGTAATAAGGATTGTAATCCATTCCACTGTGTGGTGTGTTTAAACAAATAATAAAACCAATTAAAAAAATACATCTGCACAGGGTAAAGGCCATCCTTGGTGGCCATGGCAAATTAAGGATGGGTGTCAGTAGAAACCAACCCTGAGATCTCTTAAGTCTAGGATCTTGGACTTATAGCCTTAGAATGGTATGAAAATAAATTTTCTTGTTTACATAAATAATAATAATAATAATAATGAGACCTGCAATGAGGCAAAACACAGTTCCCGGCACTCAGCCGGCTTTGGGGAAGTAACCTGGGTCTGAACACTTCTCTTTTCAGGGATCGATCTTGAGAACATTGTTTACTACAAGGACAGCACCCACTATTTTGTCATGACTGCCAAGAAGCAGAGTCTGCTGGACAAAGGTGTCATCATTAATGTATGTACCTTGGCTCATTTCTCACCTGTCTTTCCCTTTGTGACCTGGGCTGGCAGCACCAGCAGGTGTGGGAGAAGACACTCTCCTGCCAGGAACTGAGCACAGGGAGGAGACAGAAGGGGCCTCCCACTTCCCCCATTCCTCGCCCTTTGTGTTGCTTGAGTTCTGGGTAAAGGAGCCACGCCCAGGCCTGGAGAGGGCTTCTGCAGAGCTGTGTGCTGGTGTTAGTGTGGATCAGCCAAGTCTTCACCTACCCTGGTCCTTCTCTGGGAGGTCACATGGAGACAGATGGGGGCTGATTGTCCTGGTAGAACACAGAGATGCTTTCACTTGAAAATTTCATGCTGTGTCCCCTTGTTATAGAATGGGGGAAAGCTCACTATTTGCCACATACTAACTCATAATCAACTGTTCATTTTTTATTTTCTGAAACTCAGTCATCCTGTCTACAAAATAGGAATGATTTCTATCTGAAAGGGTTCTTGAGTGGAGTATGTATACATACACACATGTACACATACATACGCACACACGGAGCACCTAGCTTGTGATGGATTTGCAGATTCCCTCCATAACTTCTCAGTCTTGTTTGGACACCCACTCTTTTGTCCTGCTGGCTTCCTGGCTTCTGCTTTGTGGCTTTGCATCTTCAAGTAACAGGGTTGGAGGGAAGAGGGACATGGAGTGGTGGGCCCTAGACTGGTAGCTCCTCTGGTCAGGTTTCAGCCCTCCCAGAGCCCCTGTTCTCACCTGCACCGCCACCACTGCATGCTCAAGATAAGCATCGTGCAGCCCCAGGTCAGCCTGCTCCCTGATGCTGGCCTACAGCCCAAGCAGCATGGTGACTATTCATTGCTGCTTGTCAGAGAAGAATGTGCCTCTCTTCTCGCCAGCCTGTGCTGGCAGCTGGCCGGGTGGCATTTGTAACCCAGCCCTCCCCTGGGTCTCCTCCACATTGGCTCAGGTCTTTGCTGAGAGCCAGGGTTGTGGATGGAGGCTGCAGATGGCGGCTGCTGGGTGAGGCTGGCTGAGCATACCCTCAGAGGTGTGAGCGCCGGGCTTCAACAGCTGGTGTCCACTGCCCAGGGGTCATTCTGGGGAGGCAGCATAACCCCTTCCTGCTGGCCCTCCTGATTGCCCCTTGAGTCTGGCACTGGCTGTCAGAAGCAGTGCAGGGCAGGGCCAGCGTGCAGGGTGCAGGTGCAGTAGGTACCTTTGCCGGAGAGGGCCTGGGCTCCAGGAAAAGTGTGACTGGGGTTTTGCGTTTCACTGTCCGGGTGCTCCACACTCCTGGGATGCTAAGGTCACCTTCAGGTCATCCCAGGGCATTTGTCCAGGCAATGACATGTTGCTCAAGGTGGCTGGATTCCTTGGCAGTCATCACAGCCCCTCCATGTTCCCATCTTGGGCTCTGTTTCATGGTGCAGGTCCCAGAGTATGATCTGCTCTGCTTGCACAGTGGCTTTGGGGAGCTGGGAGTGGATCCCAGGCCTGTGATGACCTCACCAAGGCCTCTCCTCCCCCAGAGGACTCCTCAACCTCCTGAGATGGTGCCAAGGGCCTCAAGGGCCACAGCACAAACTCATATCTAGAAATTGGAGGGCCATAGGCTAGACATGGGAGAACAGGACTCTGCTTGGGATTAGGAGCTCTGGCCTGAGTTTCCGGTGTCCGGCCAACTCTACAGCGTATGTGTGGCCCATCTACCCAGCCACTTACATTGGCATTCTTCTCTTGCCCCCAGAGAAAGGACAAGTCGTCCTCATTATCCTCTCCCTATGTAGGTCAGCGTCGTCCTACTGGTGCCACAGGTGCTGCATAAGTGTCTGTTGAATGACTGACTGCCCTCTGGACAAGAGATCTCCCTTACCTGAGTCCCTGTTTATTCCAGCTGATCCCTGGGCTTCCCTTCATGGTTCTTAAAGGGAGAGTAAAATTTCTCCTCTAGAAACCCTGCCTCTGGGCTCCCAGCTGTGTTGAGCTTTCTCTTGCCCCAAGAGCAAGAGCCTCCCCAGGCCCCTCTTCCCTGGCCCATGCCCACTCAGGCTGTGGTCACCACAGGCAATTCTCACTACAGTGTGGCATGGGTCCCCATCTGGGCTGTCTCTGTACTGTGCCCTGCCTCCTGTGAAGGGTTGGGTGGGCCTTGCCCACCTTCTCTTCCATCCAGCTCAGCAATGGGGCAGCTCTTCTTCCTATTGGATCCCTCACCCTTCACTCATTTTTTGTGGCTTCCCTCCCCCACTGTCCCATCTCTCTAATTTAGCATCCAGTCTCCCTTCAGTACTACAGGCCATGGAAAATCAGGCCCAAATGTGTCCTCCTGCCCCACTTTTACCGTATTTTAGAACAATCACCCCAGGCCCGCCCACTTCATCTAAAACCCCGTTCCCTGCCCTTCTGCCCTGATTTTCCTATTGTCCTTGTTCTCACCTCCTCTTGAGGGTTCTGCCTCCAACTCCCTTGCCCAGGACTCCCCACAGCAGCACCAGGGGGGCTCTGACCCAGGTCCAAGCCCAGGTCTGCTCCCTCTGTCACGTCCCCACATTCCTGACTGGGGTCTGCACCAAGCAGTATCTTCACTGTAGTGTGGCACCACATGTAGCTCATGGTCCCCCTGAGGGGGCCCGGGCATGTTCTGAGGGGAGGTGTGCGTGCGCCCCCTCCATGCCGTCCTCCTGATTCTCATCACCACTCCTTCCAGGGAGGCCAGTGAACATGGGACCCAAGAATAGGTGTCAAAAAAAAAAAAAAACCCCAACTAACTACAACTCCATCTCAACACCAGGACCGACAAAGGACTCTCAGACCAGTGCTAGGAACAATTGGGGAATGGTGGTATGGGTGTGGAAATATTAGAAGTTCTCCAACAAGGTGTTCGAATGATGGCTCTTCTGAAAACCGAAACAGGAGGTCACTGTGGGTGCAGGTGAGGCTGAGCCTCTTAGGACCTGCAAAAGCTCATGCCAGCACCTTGGGCTGATAGGGGTTGCATTTCACCACATGCCACTTTTCATGTCCCCATGAATTACTGGGGACAGGCATTTTCATCCATTTCCATTCTCTTCCCACATACCAAGCATGGGCCTGAGATTTCACGTATGTAGTCTCAGTCAGTCTTCACGTGGCTCTGTGTTGTAGATTTCATTACTCGCATTTTAGAATGAGAAAACAGAGGCTCAGCACCAAGTTAAATGACTTGCCCAATATAGTTAATGAACACAGAGGTGGAATTTGACCCATTGCCCTTGCTGACTGCAAAGCCTGTGTCCATCCTATGGGCCAGTTCTTCACTCTATGAGGCAATATGAGATTTTTTTTTCTTTTTCCTTTTTTTTTTTTTTTTGCAGGAGGGGGGCGGGTACTCAGGATTGAACCCAGGGGCGCTTAACTATTGAGCCATACCTCCAGACCTTTTTTATGTTTTACTTAGAGAGAGGGTCTCACTGAGTTGCTTAGGGCCTCACTAAGTTGCTGAGGCTGGCTTTGAACTTGTAATCCTCCTGCCTCAGCCTCCCAAGCCACTGGGATTACAGGTGTGTTCCACCATGCCCTGCCATGTTTTTTTTGTGTCATCTTTGGAACATGGCCTTTTAGTTTGCCACCTGATGAGCAGATTAGTCTCTGGGTCTGGTCTACACTGCTTTCTTCCTTCTCTCACATCCTATGGTGCACCACCAGGATGGTTGGACCTCCTCGTCCTCTAAGCTCAGGGTGCTCCACCCCACGCGGGGAAGTAGAATAATGAACACCCTAAGAGCAAAGCCAAGCCATGAGCAGCCCTCAGCCTCTCAGGAAAGGAGTATCTGATTCTGGAAAGAAAGTTTGAGTGTTATGCTGAGCACCCCACCCCACCCCCCCGTCTTTTTGACTACTCAATGCAACGTATCTGGATCACATTAGCTTAGCTGAGTCCATTATTAAATCACACTTACTGACTTGCTCCTTTGTCTTTTAATTGTGTTAGAAGTTATCGCAAGAACCAGTCATGAGGAATGTGTTTCTTATTTGCTGTAAGACCATTATCAAGTACACTGTTCATTACAACTCTCGGTGCTTGCTGTCAAAATTCCTACGTGAGACAGATCTTTTAGAATTTAGTGCCAGGAAAAAATGACCTCCCCCGAGGAATAGCTATGCTTCCTTCTTTCTGATAAGGAAAGCCCTGTAACATATCACATTTCCCTTTTGCCTTGGATGCCAGGAAGCTCCAAGCCAAATTTGATGCTTAATCACAACCGTGTTAACCCTCACAGCTGGCTGATTGGCTTCCTCCCTCTTCCCTCGATGCTGGTTGTCTATTTCTGTTTTGATTAGCCTCACTGTGTAGGCCCAGGCCAAGTCCTTTTGCCTAGAGAGGATGTGACTCCTACCCTGCAGAGGGGCAGGCTGCTGCACTGTTCTGATCTTCCCTAGGACTACATCGACACAGAGATGCTGCTGTGTGCCGAGAACGTGAACCAGGAAAACCTGCTCTCCTACGCCAGGGAAGCTGCAGACTTTGCCACCAATTACCAGCTGCCATCCTTAGACTTTGCCATGAACCACTATGGGCAGCCCGATGTGGCCATGTTCGACTTCACCTCCATGTACGCATCCGAGAACGCAGCCCTGGTGCGTGAACGTCAGTCGCACCAGCTGCTGGTGGCCCTCGTGGGTGACAGCTTGCTCGAGGTAACGCTTGTGTGGGGAGGAGCCTCTCATTCCTGCAAAGAGACAGATCCCTGCATTTAACTCCAGCTGGCAGCATCTGCTGTCACACAGCTCTGGGAAGGACAGGCTCAGCCAGTGTCAGGACTCTGCCAAGGCCAACCTGGCCCCAAGCCTGCCCTTTCACTGAATCCGAAAGAACCCTCCTGCCTGCATGTGGGTGGGAGCACTTTCTCTCCCATCTCCAGATTTTTTTTTTTTTTTTTTTTGGTACTGGGAATTGAACCCATGGGCACTAACCACAGAGCCACATCCCCAGCTGTTTTATATTTTATTTAGAGACAGGGTCTCACTAAATTGCTTAGGGCCTCACTAAATTGCTGAGGCTGGCCTTGAACTCGTGATCCTCCTGCCTCAGCCTCCCAAGCTGCTGGGATTAAAGGCATGCGCCACCAAGCCCAGCTAGGCTGACTTCTTTGTTGAAGTACAAAATTAGGCAGCCTGGTCTGGACCGTTGGGCTGTTCTCAGAGCATGCGTACCCTGAGCCAGGCAAAGACTCCTCACTCATGTGAGTGGCCCTTTGTGACCTTTCAATGTGGAGATCTTTTAGGGTGCAAGAGAAGCCTGGGAGCCCCAGTGTGGTTTCCCAGCCATGACTTCCCTGATCAAACCTGCCAGTATCAGAATCCTTAGCTTGAATGGATGTTTTCAGAAGGGATAAAATTTTATCTTCATGTAAGCACGGATCAAACCACGTTTATGTGTTGATCCCAGGTACAGAGTCAGAGTCCAAAACATGCTTTAGGTGCTCATGACAAATTCGCTGGGCTCAGCTTGGCTGAACTGGTCCTCACTCACCATTGTGCGTGGACACTCTCCTTGGCTCTATATTTGAGCATCCAACACCCACTGTCCCTAATGTCCCTCCCAGCCTTCCTTCCTGCCGTGCTCTGTGCTACACCCAAACCAGATGGGCTCTTCCTTCATCAGCCCCTGAGTTTTGTCCACACTGTTTCCAGAGGGACCGTGATCAGACTCCCTGCATATGGGCCACTCTTCCATGACGTGTCCTTCTCTCCTAGCCCTTGAGCAGTTTTGCTGGCTCATGTCCTAGCGCCCTTTGCAGTTGAGTTTGCGCTACAGCCCTCTGTAATTAGGGCAGCCTTGTACAGTCAGCAGGGCTGCTGCTGTGTCCCCTCATTGTCCCACCATTGCCTTTCTCAGGCTGACAATGGGATGGAAGCTGGCAGTCATGGGTATCAACCAGAATCTTGCATGTGTTCTCTTGCAGCCATTTTGGCCCATGGGCACAGGCTGCGCCCGTGGCTTCCTGGCAGCCTTTGACACAGCATGGATGGTGAAGAGCTGGGACCAGGGCACCCCTCCCCTGGAGCTGCTGGCAGAAAGGTGAGGTTTAGAGCAGAACTCCTAGCTGGGGGGGGTCAGGGGGTCAGAGGATCAGGCAGGAGACAGAGCAAGATTGGCTGTACCTAGGAACTCCGTCTCATGCTCATTTGCCTTCCCATGTGTGGCCTGATTTAATCATCAAGGTCCCCAAGGACACTTTATCCATCATCATCTCCCTTCTTCAGTGACTTTTCCTGGTGGCCAAGGTCTTAGGCCCTGGATGCCAAAGAAAAATCTTCATCTAGGGCAACCATAAACTTGGGGCTCCCTGACATTGCTCATTCACCCAACACCCAGAGAGGTTTATTTAAGGGCATCTTCCAGAACAGTGTTGGGGTTCTCTGACCTCCCTCTCCCATGGCTGAGATATTGGGCTTCCTCCCAGACCCCAGTGCTGGCCACGTGGCTGTGACAGCTGGTGAACTGGGAGAAGGCAGAGCTGGCAGGAAGACAGGCTGCTGATGGTCTTGGGTGTGGAAGTCTGTGGCCTTGGGGAACAGGCCACCACAGGCAGCAGGACTAAGTGGTGGTCACAGCTAAACCACAGGTTGCTGCGCTTCCAGCCCTGAGTTCCCAGCCTTCTCAGGGAGGAGGCCAGCATTCCTGCCACCCACACATCCCTTCCTCTTGGCCCCTTTGGCCCTCCTATGTGGCAGATCTCAAAACTGGGAGTGCCAGGCATTTCAGGGAAGAGTTACACATTCTCATCTGGAAGCCCTAGGATAGGGGGATGGGAGAGGTGGGAGAAGGTGGGGACAAGTGCCTGAGGGGGCCAGAGTAATCCCTGACCTCTGGGTTCTGCCTCTCTTCAGAGAAAGTCTGTACCGGCTATTACCTCAAACCACCCCAGAGAACATCAACAAGAACTTTGAGCAGTACACATTGGACCCAGGGACGCGGTACCCAAACCTCAACTCCCACTGTGTCAGGCCCCATCAGGTAAGTCCATTCCTGGTCCCTGTCTGGGTCCGATTGGGGAAGGGAGGAGAGGGTCTCATAAAAATCTTAGCACATTCCTGGGACTGAGGCCAGTAAGGCCTCTTTGCCCAAGGGTGGAACCAGTTCTTCTCCTTAGGAGACACAAGAGAGCGATATAGACAGCATTTTTTCTACCCCACAGAAGAGAACTGGAAAAATGTACTGTGTGTATACATATTTATTCATGTATGTGCATATATTTACATGTGTTAATTTGTCACTGTGCACATGCAATACTGATCATGATTTTCTCAAATAATTTACCAGGCCAAATATCTTCTCTTCTTCACCACCCGGGATTCTGGAGTCCACTATTCCCCCATTGATTCAGAGCCACACAACCCCCAACCTCTTCAGTCAATAGGACTAAGAATGGTGTGGATTTTTAAAATCAGCCAATTAGCTATGTTCACCTACCCCCCACCATTTGGGGGATAACTGAGGTCCCTGTCTAGAACTCAGGTGGCCTGGGTTCCCTTGCTAAAAGTCCTGCCATTCAGCATTGGAGGGAAGCAAGGATGGGCAGGAAGTGAGCAGGGCTGGGCTGTACGCAGAGGCCCCGAGATGGGGACTTGGGGGAGATGGTGGGAAAGCGTGCAGCCTCTTTTGCTCATAGGTGAAGCATCTGTACATCACCAAGGAGCTGGACAGCTACCCTCTCAAGAGAGTGGACTCAGTGAGGAGGTCCATCAGCCTCTCCAGGCGGGGTAAGCAGCCCTGACCAGGTCACCAGGATGGGCTTTGGGGGGAGAAGGAGACCTGCTCAGTGTCTATGGTGACAAACTGTGCCTCTGTCAACCTGTGCTTGTGAAACCTTGGGCAGGCACCTCTCCTCTCTGTCCTTCAGCTTCTTCATCAGGTTGACCAAGAGCAGGAGGGGCAGGACCATTGGAGAGTTAGGGTTCATGGGCGTGGAACCCTTAGCACAGGAAGATGGCCTGGGGGATCATTTCACAGGTCTTATTTTTCTTCCCTCATTTCCAAGTAGGGTCTTATCTCCCTAAGTGTCAAGTGCTTCGTAGTTCTGATCTTCCTGGGCCTGACACAGTGCAGGGGCGGGTGCTTAATGTCAGGGGAAGGGTGATTCAGTGAGGAACTTCCCCAGCATCCAGCTTCCCTCAGGTCCCTCCTGCCTAGAGACACTCGCGGCCTCTGCCTGTCCAGGCCTTGCTGCCTCTCCTTCACTAGGCAAACCCAGCTCTCCACAGACCCCGCGCCCTGCTGCCAATAGACTGTTGACTCAAATAAACTCTTTTACTGTTCCACAAACACAGCAGGGTTTTCCAGGTTCTTTGCCATGACAGGGTCCCGTTTTCTTAGAATGACTTCTTCTGTCCGATGAATTCCTAGACATTCTCCAGGACCCAGCTCAAATGCATATCCCTGGACCCTTTCTTTGCAGAGTTCTCCTTGCTGGGCCACCACGGGGCCCACCCCCTCACATGTTCCCACACCCCCATGCATCTCCCTCTATTGTAGCACCACGTCATCCTCCCCTAGAAGATGACCGTGTTGTTGACAGGATCTGCATTCCAGCCGCCAGTCTGGGACCTGGCAACAGTGGGCCTTAGGGACTCTACTGGGGAATAACTTCCTGTCCCAGGATCTTGCCCTCCAGCTATCCTCTTGATCAGGCCCCTAAGCAGCAGCCCACGGGGAATTGCACCCACGTCCAGCCCCTTCCCTTTCTGCAGCTCTTCCTGCTTCTCAGCCCTGGTGCAAGCTCCTGAGGTCACCCCAGGTCTCACTGCCTGTGCTCCCTCCCTGCAGAGTCAGACATCCGGCCCAGCAAGCTCTTAACCTGGTGCCAGCAGCAAACCGAGGGTTACCGGCACGTCAATGTCACCAACCTGACCACATCCTGGCGCAGTGGCCTGGCCCTGTGTGCCATCATCCACCGATTCCGGCCAGATCTGATGTGAGTCTGGGGCCCATGCTGGGCCATGGAGATGAGAGACACCAAGGTTGCTTGGCTGAATGCAGACACCCCACACCTGGATCAATAGTTCTCTGCATGTTTTCCATTTGAGATTTTCCTTAAACTTGCTGTTTTCCCTTTGCACGGACTGTTTCATCGGTAATGGGTTTGATCTGTGACCCTAATACATAAGGACAAAAATTGGCTCAGGCTCAATGATTGCCTTCTCCCCCTGCCCTCACCCCAGTTAGCAGACACTGGCAATGTGAACAATCAGAGCTCTATCCCCAAGAGACGAAGTAGGGCAAGACCTAACTCTGGGAACCAGTATGAGGGGCTTACACCCAGATCCATTAGCTGAGTGTAGATGGGCAGCCACTTTGTTTCTGGGAGCTCTAGATTCCTTGTAGAATGATAAGGGTAGAATGATGGCAAAGTCATTGGGAAGACAAGATTACATTGAGGAAACACTTTGTGATATCCAAAGCAGGACATGTTTATATTGACAGCAGAATAGCCTCACAACCAATGCAAATCCGTCCGAAGAGGCTGATGGAAATTACCGAATGGCATTGGTCCATACCTTTAGGAATCAAGATTGCCATGAGGAGGAAATGGGAATCCCACTTTTTACTTTATGTGGTATATATAACTTGGTTTCTTAAAAAAAAAAAACCCTAAATGCTTTTTTAATTAAAAAGTAGAAACAGAAGGGAAATGATAATAAGTAGCTTATTAATTTTCCTTTTTCTTAGGGTAGCAGCTCAGGCTCAATGCATGATCATGGCGCCTGTCTGATTTGGTTCCTCCCAGACTGAGAAGGGTGGGGCCAGCCTCTTCAGGTCTGGGGTGGTGGTTGGGACTCTGGGACACGGGCTGGGGTCTCTGGAACCTGGCAGAGCATCAGCCCACAGTGCTCCTCACAGGTTAGACATCTTCTCACCTCTCCCTGAGCTTCTTCACCTTGTAATGATTCTCCAGCAATTTTGACTCTCTGAATGAAGATGACGCTGTAGAGAACAACCAGCTGGCATTTGACGTGGCTGAACGTGAATTTGGGATCCCTCCAGTGACCACCGGAAAAGAGATGGCATCAGCTCAGGAGCCAGACAAGCTGAGCATGGTCATGTACCTTTCCAAGTTCTTCGAGCTCTTCCAGGGCTCCCCGCTGAGGCCCATGGGTAAGCACCTGCACAGGATGTTGCCCAGCCCCTTGGGCCACCTCTACCCTAGAGCCCGAGTCTGCCTTCTCCTAACACTTCTGTCTTCTGCTTCGGAGCTGCCTGCTGCCTTCCCTTTGACTCTGAGGCCAGCAAGGGTGACCTCAGTTTGGGGACCCTGTATGTATCAGGGAATCTGCATAATAGGCACCATTTCCATTATGGGAGGTCACCATAGGAACCACCCCCTTCTCAGACTTTAGTCCAGGGTAAGGTAACTCTTTTAAAAGGACCTTGATATGACCACACCCCCTGGTTATAATACCTCCTGGGCCCAGGCTCCAAATCTCAGTTTTGCTTGTATTTCCCAACAGAATCTTGGCGCAAAAACTATGGAGAAAATACAGACCTCAGCTTGACCAAATGCTCCATTTCGAATAACTATCTCAACCTCACGTTTCCAAGGAAGAGGACTCCACGGGTAAGTTCTGGCCTGGTTTTTATCTTATTTCTCATTGCACATGGGTGAGGTTAAGAGGATGGAGAATTTCAAGCCCTTGGTCTATTTGTGCTAACAAATTGTGCAGATCAAGCACTCACAGAAGATGTGCATAAAACTCAGTTGGATAAGTGAGTGTTTCTGGAAGTTCTCTCTGCCAATCCGTTTCATGGACTTAGTAGTTACAGGAATGGGTTGGTGGGGAGCAGAGAGGACATGTTGGTGAAGAGTTTTGTTGTTTGCTTTGGACAGTGGTGGCATGGAACCCAGGGGTGCTCTACCACTGAGCTACACCCCTAGCCTTTTTCTTAGTTTGAGACAAGGTCTCCCTAAATTGCCCAGGCTGGCTTGGAACTTGTGAGCCGCCTGCCTCAGTTCCTGGGATAACAGGTGTGCACTGCTCTGCCAGGCTTTGGTGAATATTTTTTAAAGTAAACCAGATTAATGACTCGGGCATCTTCTAGGGGTGGGGGTGAGGTGATTTCTCACTTTGTCCATCAGGGACCTGATGGTAGAAGTGTGGCAGGGATGCTACAGGTACACGACGCTTCCATTCATTTTATTTTGTTCATCCATTCAACAAATATTCAACTCTACTAGATGCCGACCACCCTGGGTAGTTTTTAATCTTTCAAAAGAAATTCTAATGGTTCTGCTTATATGGTGAGTCCAGGTAAATCAGAGTATTTTACAAGAGGTCTGACAGGTATCATCATGTTTCTCTAGAAAATTTAAAATATCCTGTGGCTCCTCTGTGAGTTCACTGTGGTGTCACAGGTGCCTTGGTACACAGTCTGGGAACCACAGGCCTAATGGGCAGTTGCCATGTTAATTGAATGATAGCATCTCCATGGGAGATAGAATACAAGTTTTCTTGCTTAATGTGATCATTTTACAGATACAAATAAGGACCTCGGGAGGTCCGATGCCCTGACCAAGGTCACACACTGCTTAGCTGTACTTCATTGCTTTGCCCCTGTGCCACATGTCCTTTGCCACTCATTAGCTCATTCATTAAGAGACATTTATCATGTATCCAGTGGTAGGACATGCAGAAGTGATGTGACGCTTGACCTTAGAGTCCAGCTGGGGAGTTCAGAAGAAGTCCAAGACCAAGGTCAGAACCTCCGGGAGCAAGAGTATTTAAGGGACTGGGAAAGGGGTCAGGAAGCCCAGGGAGGAGAGTGTTTCTACAAAAGAGGCCCCAGAAGACAGTGTCGGGACAGAGAAGCCAGGCAATGTGAGGACAGAGGGCAGGCGACAGAATCTGGACGTGTTGGGGCAGAAGGCACATGTCAGAGGACTAGGACTGGATTGTGGAGTTTATGGGATGGCTGTGGAAAGAGGAGGGGAGATGAGCCATGGGGAATGGGCCAGAGGGAGGCCCCTGGCTGTCGCAGGGGTGCTGGGGGCAGGGTGGTTGAAAGCTCCCCGCCCAGAGCTCACCATCTCTCCAGCAGGCTGCAGGCCTCCACATGTCTCCCTGCTCTCCAGGTCCATCCTGCCTCCTCCTGCCAGCCCGTGCCCAGGGTACAGTGAGGCAGCCCAGCCTTTCTTTCTCTGTTATGTGAGTAGTGGTCACTTTCCCACTGAGGCCCATCTCCTGCTCCATGGAATGCTGCAGCAACTGTTTTGGATGACCTGAGGAGCAGGAGGCTTCATGCCTCTGCCCTTCCCTGGCTCTGGGGAAGGACGGGCCAGCGAGGCCAGGGCTGCTGAAGGGAGGATTGAGGCATTGAGGATTCTGGGGGGAAATGGTGAGCTGCACCAGCTGCTCTCTGCCCACTGCTTGGACTGCCCTGACTCACGGCTCTCTGTGAGGGCTGTGCTGCCACCCCCACCCCCGTGTGTCCCACTGAGCCAGCACAGTGCCCCGCTCTGAAAATCTGCTCAGCCCATTTTCCTTGGAAGCCCAAGGACTTTCCCAGCAAGCCAGGGTGATCTTCCTGAGACCTCTCAAACCTTTCAGTCACCACACCTTTGTTTGCAGAGTGACACAATTGAACAGCCGGCCTGGCGCTGGCTCAGGGGGTTGGGGGTGGTCACAAGGCGACCAGCCAAGCCCTGGATGGCTGTTGGAGCCTCATTCCACCTCCTTCTGACTCTGCTCGGAATCCCTGGGGAAGCTGGGGCCTCTGCCCAGCCCAGCCCCGGCTCATTGTGGACTGTGTCCACCTGCAGGGTGTGTCCTTTGGCTGCCCAGCTGGAGAAGGGTCAAGCCCCACATGTCTGATCCCACGGCCACATTTAATGCCTGAAACTTGCTTCACTTTTTGGATAGTTTGAGAAATTTGGCTATTGAAGTAAGTGCTGGCCTGGGCTTTATCTGTTCCCTCTCAGATCAGTGGACTGCTACTAGGTGACTAGGTGGATGGGCAAGTCTCCCAGGGTCACACTGTGCCTGGGTCACCACTGAAACACCCTAACATGTTTCCCACACACTGAAGAAGTACCTTCTCCCTGTCCTACCAGGTGTCATCTTCGTGTATCTGGATACATTACTGGTAGGGGAACCTATTTACAGTGATCTTTGGCCTTAACATTTTCCTGAAGATGCTGAGTCTACCCCAGAATGATCCTGAACAGGCAGAGCTATGTCAGCACACGTGCACACTCTGAAATCCACACGTGCATCTGTGTCTGTGAGTCGGTGCTCCAAGCTGTTGGTGTAGTTAGACATGCAGAGCACATGCCTTAGTGGAATAGAAATGTAGAATAGGTCACATCTGCGTGATTCCGTGCCATTAGTCCCCTCCACCCCCACCATAGTACATAAAAGTACATCTTTGTTTAGCCACCCTCCCTGTCCTTCTCACCACCCTGCAGAGGAACACCCTGACATGGGAATTAAGCAGCGTGTACACATCTATTTACCATGTGGCGTCTTATTCTGAAGAGGATTCACTGTTGCCTGCTGAGCCAGTCTTAAGACTCTCTCTCCCTCCTGATTTTCACAGTTGATATTAAATTCTTCTTTCTTCCCTAATCTTATCTTCCTGATAACATCCAAATCCCAGCAAGACTTACCAACTTCATAAAGTAAGAGATTTTCTCCATTAAGGATCTTGTTACATTTAGGGGAGTAACTTCTCCATCCCAGGGCAAGTGGTACCCATGGGGTTGACTGGTTCTGAAGATTGGCTGGCCACAGCTGGGAAAAGGAGAGGATCTTGGGGAGTTTCTTTTTCTCTTTAAAAGCTTTTGGTCTGCTTCTGTAAAGCTGCCTGTGATCCTGGTCAGCATTTCAAGGCTACTTAGCATGGACCAATTCTGAGGTCTTCAGGGCTATAGTCACCATGTGTGTAGGTAACACCTGGATATACATCCTTGGCCTCTGTCCTTCCCGTGGTCAAATATCATGTACATACGCACACACTCATGCTGTCTACTTGGTACGCTCTCAGACCTAATTACACATGGCTGATGCATGTATTTATGGCCACTACAGTCAGTATGTAGTATATTAAATGCCTATGCAGGGTACCTAGGTCTTGTACCATTTTGAACCCACTCTTTGGAGGACAACATAAAAAGTTGGCCCATCCCAGAAGCCAGGCATATAGCCCTGGGGGCTTATTCTGCTCAGTCAGGTCTTCTTTCTCCAGCACTGGCCCCGTGTACAGAGAAGTTCATGCAGCACGATTCTCTCATATATCCACATCTGGTCTGCGTGATCCTGTTGCCCTTCCCAGCCCTCCTCTTCTTGACCCTCCTGCACTGGCACTTTCCAAAGAACCACAGATGTTATTTAAGAAAGTACCTCTTCTCTTCATCCATCTGTCCACCCATTAACATCTCAGAGCACCTGAGTTGTCTTCTCTGCCCTAGAGATAGAGCAGTGAACAAGACAAGCTAGGATCCTGCCCTAGGGAGTACCTTCTAGTGGGACTTGAAATGTCATCAATCCCCTTCCCCCAATTCTCCCACAAAGTCCACCCACCCACCCACCCAGCAGCCAGAACCCCTACTAGGTTTCTAGTCCTTCTTGTTTCCAACATTTGAAAGCTTGTGCATGTCAGGACACCAGTGTCCAGGCTGCTTTCCTCTGCACACTGGCAGCCTGGGGTTCTGAGCTAATTTACAGATTGAGAATGCAATTTGAAGCCAGGCAGGCAAACACATATTTAGACATTCTGAGGACTCAGCCAGTATTCCAACCTCTCAACAAGCTCCCATGTGCATCTGCAAAGTGAGGTAATAATAGAGACATCATAGCATTGTTGCAAAGATGCTGTGAGCAAGTGCGTGCGCAGGTCCAGCCTAGGGAAGAGGCTCCGTCGATGACATTTCCCCTCCTTTAGGGATCCTGATTAAATAAAGATGCTTATTTTCTGAAAAGGTGAACAAAACTGTTTGGATCGAACCCTTGGTTCTGTACTGCAACCCTTGATAGCAGACAAGCATTTTCATATGTATTTTCTTTGCCCCTCGTGTGAGTTTTCAAGGAAAGCTGGGATTATATTCTCATCCCAATTTTGTAGGTGGGGAAACTTGGACTTGGGGGAGAATAAATTTTAATAAATCATATAGATTGTAAATGTCAAGGCCAGAACTAGAATTCAGATGTTGAAAATCCTTTTACTAAAACTAAACTGCACTAACACCAGTCTAAGACCAGTGTTCTGTTTTGAAATACTGGGGATAGAACCCAGGTCCTCACACATGCTAGGCAGGAGCTCTATCACTGAGCTACATCCAAAGCTGTATAGTTTAAGAATTATTTTACATCTGTGACTCATTCATCCTCATAATAGTTTATGTGCTAGATACTATAAGATTCCTTCTTATAGTTCTTATAGTTAGGTGATTTTTCTAAGATCACGCAGCCAGGAAGCAATTAGTTCCAAAACTCAAAAGAGCTCTCTTGCTAGTACTACTGCCCACCTTTGTAAGCATCATAACTGTTGTCCGACTCCACCAGGCCATAGTCTGCAATGGCCAATCTCTGTTCCTTTGATCCAGATCTAACTTTCTCCATGTTTAGCCTACACTAGCTAACTAAATATATAGTTTGCTTGCTTTAAGCTAAAATCACATTCACACAGGCAGTATGAGAACATGGCTATCTCATGCTAATCAAACAAATGATCAGATTGGCAAATATATGCCTTTAATTTTTTTTTTAAAGAGGGAAAGCAATTAGTTTAATAAATGCCTTTTGGCATATAGACTCTTTTGAATCCTTGGGAAACCATGATAAGAAAATGTTCTTAGAGTGAGAGTTCTGGACAAATTAATAAGAAAAGAAAGTAGGCTGTTAGTTTATTCTCACACTCTCTGGCTGGCATGATAAGTGTTCACTTCCTCCTGGTACTTCCAGTACTTTGTAGAATGTGACTTTCCAAATTAGATAGGTAAGAACAAAATTAGATAAATCTCTGGGTTTTATTTTCTTAACTTTTATATGTTTTAACTTAGGCCTTAGTTGAAAATCCATACTTCAATGATAAATCCATTATGGAACTAGGCACACTTTGGGCATGTGTGTTGCTAAGCTTTCCATGTAAACTCATTTTATTGTCCCAAGATCAGGATGGATAGGTCTAAAGAAGTAGAGGCTGCTGCTCTCCACTTCCCCCCAACCCCGGAAGAATTTAGGGTCTTTCTGGAGCTGCTGGCTGGGCATTCTCTTCCAGGAATGCCTTTGGTGAACCTGTAGATAACAAAGTTGGATCAGATCTGCACAAGGTTCTGGTAGATGGAACAATCCCACCCTGGGCTGTTGAGTATAAAGGAAGCCAGCTTTTCATTTAAGGGGGGGGGGGGCAGAAATTCTCAAGATTATAAAGGGTTCTTGTTGGAGAACGTTCTGTACTTTCAGGGACTCCAATGTCAGGCCAGAGTGACTTTTGCAGGCTATGGAGCTGGAGACCCAGCCAGCCAGTGCCTCTAAGACCCAACACTGTTGCAAATAAGGTCATCTGTTTCTCTTGGTGTTCACCCAAAGGTTTGGGTTGAAATTATTTCCATTCACAGAATAATGATTTATGAGAAGCTGAGCAAAATGTTGAAGGGAAGGCAGAGCTCTTTGATCTGTTATTTTATGCTGCCTGGGTCAAATTTTTGAACTAATATCAACTACTAAACTGTGGTTGATCTTTTCTTTCTAAAAGAAAAAAAAATGATGTAAACAAGGGGAGGGGAGGGCCAGAGGGGAATGTTTGTTGGAAGCCAGTGGGTACATAGTGCCTGGGTGCTAGTTATTACTCTTTTAGGGCTGGCTGGGCATGTACCTGGATTCGAGGTGAGCAGGTGGCCTACAGCCAGCCCTTCCTCCTACATCTGTCATGGTGGGAAGACTAGGATGTGATCTGGGCCTACAATGAAGGATTCTGCAAAAGTGTAGGGGACTTTCTGCAGAAAGGGACAGTCAGTCACTGGGGCATGGCTGTGTGGTCCTGAGGGAGGTAGCCACTGAGAGATGGCTCCAGAGACTGGAGAGTCAGGGTGGAGAGGTCCAGATCCGGGAGGCCCCATGTGGAAGATGGGCTTCCCAGCCAGATGCAGAGGAGGTGCTGCCCTCAACCTCTCCACCCAGCTGGCCCTCGCCCTGTGTGATCCTCCTCATTCCCTCAGCAGACAGCTGATAGTGCTGTGCCTTTGGGTGGCCTTGCAGGGTCAGTAAACACGGTTTTGCAGATTTAAAGGTTTAGATTCAGGCAGCAGTTGCGAGGGGTTCTCAGTTGGGCAACCATGCACTGTATCTTGCAATCCAGGGATTCTTGTGAGAGTGAAGAGGCTCTATTAACAATTATGCTGAAGAGGGGAAGCAAATTACAACGGTCCCAGGAAAACAGGGCTACATAGCCACTCTAATCCTCAGGCTGTATCTAATGCTTATTTGAAATTTAAAAATATCATGTTAGAGACTGAATTGCAGGCTTAATTTGCTACCAAATCCATGGACAGTTCATTCGAGTCCTGAGAATAATCCCAACAAGGCAAACCAGTGTCGCCTTCTTGTAGGAGAAGCTCCTAAGGAGCAGAAAATTACCCTAGGCTGTCTCCATAAGGCAGCACACTGAGGCCCAAGGGCTGTGACCCCAAGGTCACGTTGCAATAGGAACAGTCCCTGTGCTATCTGTCACAAGGATTCTGTTTGCCTGAGGATGTTTCATCATGAGCCTTTAGAAGGTAATTCCCAGCCCTTCTGAGCAAACCTGCTTCCTTAGGTGGGAGTGGGGGTGGGTAATGCTCCCTCCATCATGCCCGAACATACCTCTGTGACAGCATTTGTTATGGATCAAGGTCACTTATTGCTGTGTCTGCTGTCAGGCAGGGATGCTTTCATGTGTGCTTTTAGTTCAAGGCCAGCACATGGCCTCAAGGATATTAATGGAACCCAAACCCTTGACAGCCCTGAGCTCACTGTGCTTTCTTGGACTTTGCAGGTAGATGGACAAACCGAAGAGAATGACATGAACAAGCGGAGGCGGAGAGGCTTCAATAACCTGGAAGAGGTTTGTGTGTGCAGGGTTAGTTTAAACAAAGGCCTGTTTCCTGATAACCAGTGGCTCAGGCCTGACCCACTGTGTCAGCAGCCCTGGCATTTTTTCTTTGTCATGAACCACTGGGTTCCAGGCTTGGCTTGATGGAATAACAGCTGGGGTTCTGCTCCTCGATTTGCCCTTACTGGCTACATAACCTTGAGAAACATAACTTCCCAGGGTGTGGGTCCTGACTGTAAAATGTGATGATACATCTGAAATGTATGAAGCTTTGCAGTATTTTTAAAGACTAATAAGAGGTATAGATAGATCTGAACATGTATATACCTATATGTTAACCAATATTCAATCACTATGAATAAGTAGGGAGGAGGCACCAGCTGGCTTAATTTAGCTCTCAGTCTTTGTCTTCTTTTGTTTTCTGCACTTTTAATCTTACATACAAAAGTCCTGGAGGCCACTAGTGCCACCTTCTGGTGAAAGGGAAAATTGCAGGCCATTTTAAAAAGACAGTCTCTTAATTTCTCACCTGCTTCTGAAAAATGGGTCAGTGGGAAGAGTACCAGTTCCTGCTCCTCAGGCAGCAACTTAAAGAGAGCTGAGCTATAAGACTTCATTTTTTAGAAGGTCGTTCTTATTCCAGGAAAGCAAGCATGCAAATGTCAGCAAAATGTAGGGTGCCACCATTAGCAAGCCTACTTACTGGCCAATGTCAAAGCCATGGCTAGAGGCACAGGGGATAATTTGAATAATACATTGATTCCTGATTTATATGACTTAGAGAGACTTTTTTATATGGTTGAAGAGTTTTTGTTGCTGTATTTTTTAGGACATTGTTGTTCATGTCTGTGACTTGCCCCATCTCAGGACAGTGAGCTCTGTATAACGAATAGAGCCAGGAGGCTCACCTCTGGGAAGTGCAGCTGCCTGCTACTCCCCTCATTTTCTCACACACACAAAAAAAGCCTGGAGTTCAGTTCCCATCTGAAAGATCTGTCCACAGATGTTCAAATCACCTCTGTCTGAAGCCTTTCCAGGGCTTCTCCCGGCTGTGGCTTCCCACTCTCAGCTGCAGTGTGACTGAGAAGCCAACCTGTAGGGAGGTAACCAGGAGGAGGAGCTGAGCTGTTCACGGGGCTAAAGTGCACTCCTCCCAGGTCGCAGGTGGCTCTCCACCTTCCTGCCCGTGCTGCTGGCCCTTTCCTGCTCCCCAGAAGCCTCCCAGGTTCACTTTGTCTTCAGGAGTCTTTTCCTGCCTTTCACTCTTGACCTCTTGAGGGGCTGTTTACACTGCTTCTGCTACTGGCAGCAAAATTTCTGGAGTGGGAAGAAACCTGCTTTGCATCTGTCCCTCTGAGACGGCTCTGGTCTGTTTTCAGAGGCAGCTGTTTTGTTTAAAGTCAGTTTTATCAAATCAATAATTCTCTCTAAATTCTTCCTACTCAAATTGTGGTCCCAAGATCCAGCAGCAGCAGCAGCATCTCTTGGGTTAGAAAGGCAGGCTCTGGGGCACAACCCAGACCTGGAATCACATCTGCTTTTGAAGGTCCATCTTGGGTCATTTGTTGAATATTGATGTCTGAAAGTGCTGGCCTGTGTCCACTGTGTTGTCTGACTTTGATCTTCTACAAATAGTGATTTCCCAGTAAACACTCTTCTTCCCTGCTCCCACTTATACTGATGTGCAGGGTCACATTTCGCAATTTGAAGTGGGGCGTGCCCACATGGTTTCCCATGAGGCTGTCCCTCCTAGGGATCCTTCTAAAAAGCAATTGAGCCTAGCTTACTTCTTCCTATGAATTTCTTCTAAATGAACACATCTTCATTTTTCATGAGAATGCTACTGCTGTGGGGAAGACCCATTGTCTCCTTGAGAAAGCTCACCCACTGCCCGCTGGCATGGCAGTGCATTTATGTTTCCTGGGTGTGTGGGAGGGGATCCTTCAGGAAGGGGGAGCAGCTGGTAATTTTCCAATTTTTATTGGTAAGAGATGACCTTACATGGAACTCTATGTTACAAAAGAGCTTAACTAAGCAGTTGAGGGCTACATCATCATTTGTGAGTCATACACTCCAAAAGGATAGGATAAGGACAGCCCTGTGGATGCCACAGAGGCATCCTTCCCCTAAACCCATAGCCCCAGTCTAACCACCAGAAAACATCAGACCAACTCGATTGAGGGGCTTTCTATAAATAGCTGCCCAATACCCTTCAAAAGTATGAAGGCCATGAATGATCAGGAAAGATGGAGAAATTATCACAGCTTGGAGGAGACTAAGGAGACGTGATGACCACATGCAGCGTGGGATCCTGGACTGAAGCCTGGAACAGAAAAACAGACATTAATGGAAAAACTGATGCGATCCAAATAACGCCTACGGTTTCATTAACAGTATCATGCCCATGTTAATTTCTTAGTTTTGATAACAGTACTGTGATTGTTCCAGATGTTGCTTTAAAGGCAGCTGGGTGATGGATACCGAGGATCAAGCTGTGTGGTCTGTGCAACTTTTATGTAAACCTAAAATCATTTCTAAATTAAACGTTTTTTAAAGACTGCAAACACTGAGCAGTCCTGGTTGAAGTGGGGAAGCAGGTACAGAAAAGAGAGGAGAAAGAAGCTGTGCTTAGCCAGACTGACACCCCCTCTTGCTTCCTTCATCCCCACTACTCTTCACCTCTTCTCAGCCACATAGTGTATTTTTGAAAAATATCTTATGTGATACTTCTTTGTTATAACTGATTTTTGCAGTAACTGCTTGAATTGAGTTATCCCTCCCATTTTATAGATGAGGAAACTTCAGAGAAGTTAAGTAGATTGCCAAGGTCATGGGATGGGAAAGTCAGAATTCAAACCCTAACTTTCTAACTCTAAGCATGGCTGCCCCCTTTCTTCTTAATGAAGATGTGTTCATTCAGAGGAAATTCCCATGAGAGTTGTCTCTGAGGTTTGCCAACTGCCTCTGCCTTGCTTCCTCACCCATGAAGCAGGCTCTGCTTTGGGAAACCAGTGGCCTGTCCTGAGTCCCCAGGCACAGATACCAAGGTTCCAGGATCCAACCTCCAATATGCTCTTTTGATTTTTACAGCCATCAACCTTCTCCAGCCGTAGATTGGGCTCCAATCAAGAGTGCAGCAGCACTAAGGAAGGTGGAAATCAGAACAAAGTCAAGTCCATGGCAAATCAGCTGCTGGCCAAGTTTGAGGAGAGTACTCGGAACCCCTCGGTCCTGAAGCAGGTGAGTCATGTCACTAGACCTGCCTTCCTGGTAACCATTAACCTGCTGGGAAGCCAGCCACAGTGTTCAGGCTAGGGATGGACTGAGCTATGCCAGCCCGGCCTGGTGCAAAGGAATCATGAGCTGCCCGGTCAACAGGCCACAGACTTTTCCATGAGGCCAACTGTTCTCCACTTTGAAGATCATGCTATCCCATTGTAGTGATGCAGCTCTGCCATTGCAGCATGAAACCACTACACAGGATGCCTAAACAAATGAGCATGACCATGTTTCAATAAAACTTTATTTACAAAAACAGACAACCAGCCAGATTTAGCCTGTGGGCCATAGTTTGCCAATACCCGTTTTGCATTAAAGAAATCCATTCCCTAATTTGGTGTCGCTTTAAAACCATGACTTGATTTACAGCCAGTTTTGAGATGGTATAGCTTGAGGGAACTTTGGAGATGCTGGTGTGTGGGAGAGCGCTGTCTAAGTCCATGGTGAGACAGTTCGTCCAAACCAAAGGAAGCTGACTCAGACACCTGCAGGGATCTGAGCCAGCCTCAAAGTGTTCCCTCTCCCAGCCAGCCATGCAGGGCCACTGCATCTGTCCAGGATTAGTCTGCGACGAGAGCAGGTTGAAAGCTGTGGGTCAGACTGCAGGCCTCCTTGTGACTCTAGCTCCAGGTCTTTGCTCATGGTTCAGTCCACCACCCACCCCCGCCCCCACCACCAGTTTTGACTAGGGATATTGTCACATTTCAAAAACTTTGGGGAAGGAGCTTCAGTTGTCTATGGAGAATACTTGTGCCATGACAGAATGAGGCTCCTTTTGGGAGGACAGACTCTTGGCTAATTAGAATTAGAAGCAATCAGCCTCTTGGCCTTGGTGTGGACCATGCCACTCCTAGACTAACCAACACTCCCAAGAACAGACATTATTATAAGGGGGCATTTCTCTGAGACCTCTAATTCTCTACAACTGCTCTTGATCGCCCCTGCTGGGGGCTTGGCCTCCTAGAATCCCCAGGTGTTGATGAATGCTTGATTCCTCCAGAAGGACTGGAGTGTCCCTATCCCAGAAAGGGTGGGAAGCTTTCCCGTCTCCAGGACTCCTGGACTGACTTTGGCCTGATGCGGGCTCTGCCTCTGGCAGTGCAGGACCAGAGCCCAGTGTCTGAGCCAGAAGCAAGGCCTGTGGGATTCACACATTGTCCAAGAGGAGGGGACTCTAGGCTCTGTGTTCCTGTGGACAGAGAGCCAGGCCTCCAGTTTCCCAGCCAGGCCTGGCTTGTAGGAGCCTGGCTAGTTGTCTCTCTGCCCTTGCAAACTGCACCTGCCTGCTCACCTTCTCTTCTCCCTCCAAGTGTCTTATTCTGATTCACCTTTTCCTCCATGTCTCCTGTGGCTGTTTTTTCGGACTCACCTTATTCCTCCCAGGAACGCCGTGTTTCAGGGCTAGGTAAGCCTGTCCCATGCTCTTCCTCCGACCCGCCTGTAAACTCCCGCTGCCCCAAGCCAGAGGAGCCCCCTCGCAGCCCATCACCTCCTCTGAAAAGGCAGGTAGGGCTCCTTCCTGCAGATGCTATTTTGCTGAAGCCAAGGGAGACTTTGGGGGTGGGATCAGTGGCTCCCTCCATCCCCCACAAGGGCTGATCATAGATTCTCTGGCCAAGCCGACACAGCTTGAGGTGACCACCCTTATCTATAAGATTAACTATGAATGCAGCACTTGAAATAGATGTCGTTGATTCCTCGGTCAGTCAAGGGTATTGACTGACCAACTCTTGGTGTTGCTGCTTAAAGGAAAACGAACAGCACCATGTGAGCATTTTATGGATGCCCAGTGGCACTGAGCTGTCTGCTCAGCCTGACCCAGCAAACAGGCGATTTCCACATCAATGAGTCATGGTTGGAATGGGCTTGGGTGGCCATGCGGCTGCACCCATTGAAGGCATGAGGCTGGAGCGTGGTGAGGCCCTTCTCCACGCAGGACCTCTGTTAGTGATAGAACAGAACCACTATGAGTGACCACAGATTCCAAAGACATCTGGTCAGCATTAGGCATTTTATGTTGCTTCTGGTGGTAGATTTGGAGTGGAGCAAGTGTGAATCTGACTCTACAATTTTACATCTGTGCCATAAGATCCACCTGGGGAGCTTTTATTTTTAAAAAATACCAACGCTCACTCAGAACAATCACTCGGCATCTCTGGGCACTGGGTAATTAGCATCAGAGGCAATCAGCCTCTTGGTCTTGGTGTGGACCATGCCCCTCCTGGAGTAACCAACCTACCCCAGATTTGGGTATTTTTTTAAAGTACTCTAGATGATTTCAGTGTACAGCTAGGGCTAAGAACCAGGTTTGGCTCCGGGGTCTAGGGTGAGGTCCAGGATGTGTTTTATTCATGAGGGCATCAGGTAATTCTGATGCAGGTGGCAGCTGAGCCACCCCAAGACCAGTTGGGAATCTTTCTTAGGGTGTGCCTGGTGTGTCCTGTCTCTGGTGCTCACGGGGTTCCTTGCACCAGGGTCTGTAGAAAGGTCACAGGAGGGAAGGGAATTTCATCTTCCCTCTCTCCCAGTTCTTCTCTGTACTTTTGATGGGGCAGGTGCTCAGAGAGCTCAAGCAAGTGCCTGCTGGTGGGGAATATCCTAGCAGGCCATGGAGGGCCAGGGCCAAGTCTGACCTGGAGCTGGGCGGGCCAGAAAATCTCGGCACCCTGCCTCCTACCTGCCAGGGAGCGCTGGCCCTTTCCGGGGTGCTAAGGCGGCTACAACAAGTGGAAGAAAAGATTCTCCAGGTGAAAGATCACTCCTTTCTGCCTGTGTCCCTCCCTGTCTGTTGACTTCCTGTCCTCCCTCCGCCCTGGCCTGATCACTCCCTGTCTCCTGTCCTGCCTAGTGTGGAGAGCCTCCCTCACCTCTCCCCAGGAGGCCACCCTCAAAGTCTCGGTCACTCTCTCTTTTCTCTCTCCTTTCCCACCTTGACTGCAGAAGAGGGCTCAGAACTTGGCCAACAGAGAGTTTCACAAAAAGAACATTAAGGAGAAGGCCGCTCACCTCGCCTCCATGTTTGGACACGAGGATTCCTCACAGGTAAACCCAGGGCTTGCAGAGCCCCCAGGAACCCAGGTGCTGGACATCCAGCCAGGCGACCATGAACCAGACTCTGGAGCTTGATATCCTCCTTTCTCTTTCTGGTAGCACAGTGACTATTCATTTTTCAAGCTACTAAAGAGTCTGAGCTGGCATCTAAAAAAGACCCAAATGCAAAGATTCAAAATAAGTCAGTACATCATGACAAGGAGAAAGTCAAGGCAGGAAAGTAAGCCCAAGTCTAAGGAAAATGTTACCAAGCAGGAACACAAGCTGATACACCCTAGAGAGTTTTGAAATGGGCTGTGGGTTTCCTAAGGGCCACTGCAAAAAGGGAATGCTGTTCAGTTGCAAGACTCACAGTGGCCTTTAAGGTGGAAGCACACCAGGTGCTCCTTCTGTTTGAGGGCCCTGATCAGGGAGGCACTGAATGATAAGGCCACAGACATGCCATAACCTGGGGTCTCCTTTGCAAAGGGCAACATCAAGCTAGAATGGAAATCCCTGCATTACATAGGATTACACAGCCCCCTCCAAGCCAGTTACTTATTTGGAAAAGAAGGGAGCTGGAAGAGCGGGTAATGAGGCCCGTGGTGGATACATGGGTGACAATCAGCCTGTCTGTAGAACGTTTCTCCTCTGCCACTTTCACTCAGTCTCCTCACCTCTGCTACTTGGGATAGATACTTCACATGTAGTTCATTTTTAGGGTTCCCCATGGCTTCCGGGAGGCCAGCACAGTTGTCTGCCCACAGCTGCAGAGGTCCCGCTGTGATCATCTGTCCCAGAGAGGGCCAGGGTTTCCCCTCCTAAGCTTGCAGCAGCTGCTCCTTTACATCAGAATTAGCTGGCCTCTGGAGCAGATGTAGGCAGGCACCAAACGGATCTGCTTGAGCTATTTTAATGTGAAAAAAGAGCTGGAGTAGTTGTAGCCGAATGCAGTGTAAACCAGGAGCCACATAATCCTGCTTGGCTCCAAAGACAGGTTTCTGTTTAGTCTTGAGAGACTCGAGAGACAGGCCCAACATCTCCCCCACACGAGGCACAGATAGGGCTGTCTGGTCAAGGCCTGCAGGGCTGTGCACGCCCCTGGATAATCCTAGTTTCCTCTATCTCTGTTCTGTGCAGAACAAACTGCTCTCTAAAGGCCTGTCTCATACTCATCCTCCGTCTTCTCCCTCTTGCCTTCCGTCTCCTGATCCAACTGCTACTTCCTCTCCACCGACTGTTGACTCTGCTTCTCCTGCCAGAAAGGTAGTTGTCCTGAACCATGTGCTGCCCACCCCCTTGCATGCTCTCATGCTCTGCTTGGCCGGCACAGACAAACATCTGGAGCTTGGCTTGGCTGCCGTGAAAACTTGTAGGCTGTTTTGCTAGAGTCCTGGATTAGGTTTTGGTTTTGTGTTAGAGCATGCAACACTGAGTACAGTCAGTGTGCAGAGCACCTGCCAAACAGGGCTCGCTCTTCCAGGACTTAGCCAGGGACCCATGAGATGCCAAGCACTATGTCAGATGCTAAGAAAACAAAAAAGGGGGAGGTCTAGTTCCCTGACTAGTTTGGATGAAAATAGCACATTATCATAGAAATCAGTCATTACTTTCCTTTTCCCTTATTTCTGCTTTTGCAGTGCTGGGGATTGAACCCAGGGCCTTGTGCCTGCTGGGTAAGGGTTCTACCACTGAGCTGCATCCCTAGCCCAGAAGTCACATTTCACTACATACAATTGCTAATATTTGGTTGGTTTAAACTAACAAAATGACAGTTCCTAGTGGTAAACCTTTTACTATTAATTCTGTAAGAGGTATAAAGGGCAAGATTGTGGAAACAGAGAGAAGCCTTGGAAAGATTCACAGAGAACATACTATGGAAACTGGGTGCTAAAGGTCACACAGGAGGATTTTGCTATAGAAAAGTGTAGGGCTAGGGTGTTCTAGAGCGGAGTGAGCCTGTGCAAAGGTGGGCAGGCAGGACTGGCAAGAAGTGGAACGACAGAATGTTTGATGTGGCCTGAATTTGGGACTGAAAGTATTTTGGGGGCTGTGGGGAGCAAAGGGGAAGATGAGCATGCTCTATGTTAAGGAATCTCATTTCCCCCCCTGGGTTACAGTCAGCCAGGGAAGGACCTGCTCTGTTTAGGTAGTCACGCACAGGTGGGCTTGGAGGAAGGCAGGAGGCACGGAGCTGACTTTGGTTAAGTATGCAATGGAACCCATTATCTGTGAGCAACGATCACATTTGGGTCTGAGACACTATTTCACCTCTGGGATGATGTGTCCTCAGCTGGACTGTGCTCCCCTGAACACACCCAAGCTGTCCAGTTCCCACAGAGGCTCAATGTGCAGCACAGAATGTCCCCTTGTCCGGGGTACTGCTGGTTTACTTCTGTTCTGTCAGGCACAAGCCAATTTGTGCTGTTGCATAAAGGAAGAATGAGAGGCCACTTCTTCATGTGTAGCTGGGGGTTCCACCCCAGTGACCCCCCTCTGTGGAGAGAAGGTAGGATCCCCAAGAAAGGGGAAAGAGTGTGACTTGCTAGACTAGCTGAAAGGTCCCCAGTGTGAGTGTGAAGCACCCCCTCCCCCCGAGGAGAACAGTAGGAGGTGACATGGAGAAGAAACACAAACACTTCACGTCTTAGTAGCCATGGTCAAGATGCCCAGCAGCCTGTTCCAGGGTAGCCCCGGGTCAGCTGTGTGGCTCTAAGTCTCCCTCCATTTCTCCTCAATATAAGAGTGGTCCTGACTGTCATGATGGTGAGCTATATGGATGGAGACATATAACCTTGCTGTTATCACCAGCAAGGTTTCAGGATAGCTTTTTTGTCCAGCTAGGGAGAGGAGTGTGACCTAGAGAATACTTCCTAATATAGGAGAGGTCATTGGCACCCTTGACAATATAGGACAGGTGAGGACACCTGGCCACACGCTGGGGCGTGGCTTGTTCTCCCAGCTGCTCCGCCAGCCCACACCTTACTTCTCCCTGGCTCCGTCCCTCTGGCTACCTGGGCCCTTCTGAGTAGAGACTGTCTAGGGCCACTCTCACCCCTGCCTTTCTCCCCCCACCCCAGGAAGGCCTGGCTTGGTCTTTCACAGCTGATGGCAGATCTGGTCAAGAGCAGCCCCCTTTCTTCTCAAGCTCCTGCCTTGGTTCCCAGTGGCACTGGCTTCTCTAAGTGGTGGCAGGAGGCAGCCTGCTAGGAACGAGAGGAGCAGCAGATACTCACTGTGAATAAGCTTTTCTCCCAATACATCCTGGTCAAGCCCTGCCAAGGTCTCCCACAGGGAGCTCTGGAGACAGCTCTAAACCAGTGTCACTCCTTAAGCCAATAAGTGGACGTTTATCCATTCAACAACCATTTATCAAATGGCAACATAGTGTTGGGGACTTGGGGCTCTTGGGAGAGGTACTAATGAATCAGAGTAAATTCCTGCCCTGATGAGGCTTTCATTCTAGTAGGGGGAAGTAAACAACCAAAAATAATATGACATAAAAGCAAATTCTATAATAATATGTCAGAAGATAAGACAAGACTTTCTATGGTGATGTGAGAGCCAGTAGCAGGGGCCCGGAGCTCTGGGGGAAAGGTCCACTTTGAAATGGGGTGGGCAGCAGGGGTCTTCCTGTGCCTGTGACGACTGAACAGGAGAAGATAACAAAGGTTCAGGGATGATACCAGGACCCAGTCCTGCGATCCCTCTGAACCACAGGGCCAAGTGTGAATGGAGGCCTTGTTAGAGGGACCAGCCCCATACTGTGTCCATATGAAGCCCTCTACCCTGGGGCAGGGAGGGTACCAATGAGACTCCCTTTGGGGCGGCCAACCCCAGGTCCTCTGGCCCCCATCTCTGCAGCTTTGTTCTTATGTCTCCCGGGTTGTAGTAATTATCCCCTCTTTTTTCTTATCCTATCTCCCAACCCAACCTTGGCCATCAGATGATGGTATAATTAGGCTGTTTTAACAGCTCCCACCTTATTAATTAGAAGCTGATGTACCTTTCATGTGTGGCAGGGAGTGATCAGGGACTCTTAGAAGGGGCTCCTCTAGGGGGGGGCAAGTCACAGAATCTCTCCGTGCCTTAGTTTCTCCAAGTGCCCACACTCACGGTCCCTGCAGGTCCATGGTAGGCAGCCAGGGATGGAGTAGGAAGCTTTAGTGGCAAGCAGTCTCGGGAAGGGTCTTGCCAGCACCCCCACCACCATGTCCACACTTTATTTTCTGCCTCTCCCAACCCTCCTTCACCATTGATTCAACACCGGGCTTTGCACATGCTGAGTGTGGCAGAATCCAACCCCCTCTGAAGAGAGAACCGGCTGCCCCTTAAAGTAGACAATGACTTGGTGACAAACGTCTTTATTTCATCTTGATGGAGCTCAGGGCATCTCTCCCCAGGAGAGGGCCTGGAGTCTTCATGCTTCTTCCAAAGAGACCAGGGGCTGCTGTGATTGCCCAGTAACCCCAGGCTGCCTCCATTCCGGAAAGCCCAAAGAAGAAAAATGCACTTGAAGCTGATGCTTAGTCCTTGGCAACCTCCTGGCAGGCAGTATGTTGTGTTCCTGCCTCGGAGCCCACACCCCAGCTCTGAGGATCCAGGACTAATCCCTCCTTGGGATTAGTGGGCGCAGACTTGGCCAAACCCACCATGAGGAACAGGTGTTCCCCAGGGATGTGAACTCGAGCCACCAGCTCCAGGAGAGCCAGCCAGGGTCTGCCTGCAGACTGCACTTGCACTCCCAGCTGATGCTCTGCTTTAAAACTCAGAGTGGTCCTTTTGGTTTTCTGACCCAAACAGCCACAGAGAGTCCTGAGGTCCTCTCATATAGGACCCAGACCTTTTCCAGAACCTGACTTTCAAAGCCTTGGGCTATGGGCCATGTCCAGTCTTATGTCCCCAGCATCATTTTTCTCACCCATCCATCAAACCAGCTTCCTCTAGTGGTCTCCGCTCTCTACCAACCATTCATTTCTTTCTTAGAGAAGAGACTGTGCTGACTTAACCTGCTGCATGCTGCTGCCATTTGCCCAAGGCTGCTGAGCTCTTGCAAAAATAAGATAGTAGCCAAGCATTTGCACAGCTAAGCAGGGGACCCCTTCAATGAGCTAGAAACTGTGGTTCAGTCCTCTTATGTCAGGAGATCAATGAGCATTGCAGAAAGAGCTTTCTCTACCTTAAGGATGTTTGTTTTTCAACTGGATTTGCAAGTTTACTCTAGAGATTTGCATACTAGAGGGAAATGGAATTGCTGAGCCAGTTTTGGCTGGGCAGTCTGACATTATTGCATCGGATGCAGGGATAAATCAAAGCTGCCTTCAACCTCACTGTCTCTCTATCCTGGGCACAGAGCTAGGCAACTTTTGGAGATCTTTAGTGTGCATCCCAGCCTGAGGGATGAATTTGAATTTGCTGAGTACCTGGTATGTGTCCAGGAGGGACATATATGAGTTTAGAATCAGCTTGAGCTTAAAGTACCAGTTACTCACTGTGTGACTTTGGACGAGGCAGTGTTCCTCTCTGAGCCTTAGTTCCCAAACCCATAAAGTGGAGACATCAACAGTTACTCCAGAGGGTGATTTTTGGAATACTTCAGTGACCTGACGTGTAAAATGCCAGAAGTAAATGTTCTCTTCTAGAAGAAACTTCTAGAAGAAAGCTCATTTATCTAAACTGCATGTCAATTCCTCCTTTCTAAAGGAAGAGAACTTACCTTCTGGTTTTCATTTCCGTGCCAGCCACTTAAGAGCAGTGCCACCTTAGGTAATTTAGCCTCCCTGAGCCTCAGCTGCCTCCCCATCAAAGGCTGGGAGAGCTCAATGCATATGACCAGCAGCACTGTGCCTGGCACCAGGGATGAAGGTGGCAGAGGTGGGGCTCCCCCTGGGAGATCATGGCCCCAAAGGCTGTAATTTCTAAACCCCTTAAAAAAAACAAAACAGTTTTGGTTTCTTGCTCTCCCCTGCCCTTGGTCGGATAGCAGAGGAATCAGGTCCAGCAGCCTGTCCTCAGATGTTTTCTCTTCCAATGACTCCTCAGTGAGGATGTCCTTGCCCAGTGGCCCAGGAGCCCTCTTCTGGCCCTACTTGTGGAATCCTCTCCTTCCCACAAGTTCTCAGCTCCTGGGCCCTGACAGCTCTACCCCCATCCCTGCCTGACCCGGGTGGGCTTGCCTGGTGCGCACAACACCCACACAGCCACAGGGAGTCAACTCTGTGGGGAGGCAGCCTGGACACCTGGTATTCTTGGCTGAGTTCCTGGCC